CGATATATCTAGCGACGACTTGCATCATTTTTGTGTCTCTCAGCACAATTGCAAGTGATTTAATGCGCGCAAAATGTTACTGATTGAAATATCACACATACACGTTTGTAATCAAGCTAAACAGGGAGGGGGGGTGGGGTCATTTCAAGGTACCGTGAAATATTGGAGTGCCCCCCCAAACTTTTTCAGCTTCCGCCGCCCCTGGAGTACACTAGTCTTTAAATTCTACTGTAAAAACGTTCATTATCTATTAAAAAATCTATGTACTGTTAGAAAGGAGCAATAACCTTTTTTTCTGATTCAGGATCCTTTCGCATCTCTGAACGAATAGATTGTACTTCTTGTTTTAAATCTGAATAATTCTTGTTAAGCACAGTAAGTTGATCCAGAAGTTGTTTCATCAATATTGAGGTATGGTCCACTTTATCGTGAGAGACGTGTTTCAAGTAGCGTTGCTATATTGAGCGAAAACAAATACATTAATTTAATAGACTAGAGCGCATGTAGTAAAACCATGAAATAAAAACAAAGTTGCATCATACTGGAAAATAGTATATTATGGAGATCTATAAGCCATTCCGTCGAGGGTGAAGAAAAAACTGGGTCGAATTGGAATTTGTTTACACATAGGCCCCGTCCACACGTATCCGGGAATTTTTGTATCCGCAATTGTTTTTTTGCGGATACGGGTTGCGTCCACACGTGTCCGAAAATTTTTGTGACCGTATCCGGAAACTCTACGAAAACGGACACGTGTGGACGGTGAAAACGATTCGAATACGCTGCGTGTGGACGCAAACATTTTCGTATCCGCAAAAAATAATTTGCGGACACAAAAATTTCCGGATACGTGTGAACGGAGCCATAATAGGTATCAACTCATTAATATGTAAAGAGCTATATTATTTATCCTTAACAAATTTAGACAGTTGCTATTATATGTGCATGTAAAAATCCTCAAATTTAAAAAAAAAAAAAAAATCTAAAGTATGCCCTTATTGGGGTGTAACTCATTAATATGTAAATAATGTTGTTATTTGTTTAAAAAAGTCACTGTAAAAATGTTGCTATGGTAAATAAATAATTCATTAAAAAATAAAATTAAAATAAATAAATAAATGAATAGAAAAAAATGTTCCGCCCCAAGGGGCGAGGTCAAAACAGTCGTCCAAAATAGGGACCCGATTTTATGAATGAAGGTGGTGGGTACCGGTACATACCCCCCACCCCCAACAGAAACCTGTTCAAATGCTTGATACTGGGGGGTCTGTAGTGGCAATTTCTATACACAAATATGTTCTTTAGTATACATGCAGACAGACAGTCCATTCATTTCTGTGATTTGGCTTTTAGTTTTGGAAATATTTGGGGTCAAAATCTAAGATTTCACTTCTAGAGGTGGTGGGTTCCGGGTAACACCACCCCTCCCCCCTAAATCGGGTACCGTGAGATGACAATTGTTTTGCCCTCATCCCTAAAGAGGTGGGTATATCCCCTACCTTGAATCTCACACTAATTTCCTGGGATCCAATGCTAACAAATGCATAAAGCCTTTTTGCATTTGAATTGCCGTTTTCTATAGTCCCTTCACCAATCTTTCTTCCATTCAATGTGAACAGGATGTAAAGATCGTCGTTGCTTTCTCTTCCGTAAAGCAGTTCACAGCCAAGAAGGTCTCCTCTGTCGGCCATTTCTGGGAGGTGATCTATTTCTGAAAAAAAAAATCATTTGACTAAAAATCCAATCTCGTATCCAGAGCCTGCGTTTCTTCTGGCCTGCGGCGAAGTACGAGTGCTCTGGCATAATCCATTTTTTGAGACCAGGATTTCTTGGACTTCCGGTATAAGAGCGTATACGTTAAAAGACTTGCAAAAAATAAAAAAAAATATGTTCCCGATTTCTAATTCTTATTTTGATCGGAATTAAACACAGAACTCTGTTTGAAAGCATGATTTTCATTGAATATGTTTAACTTCCGGAAAGCAGCGCATGCGCCAAAAATGGATTATGCCAGAGCCCTCGTTTTTCGCCGCAGGCCGAAAGAAACGCAGCCTCTGGGTACGAGATTGACTAAAAATCATGTTTCTATTGACACTGGTGAAAAACGCACTGCGCATGCGTTGAGAGAAAAAAACAAAATGGCGGACAATAACAATTGATCACATCTAAGGCCCCATCCACACGTATCCGGAAATTTTTGTATCCGCAATTTTTTTTTTTTTTTTTTTTT